TGTAACGTGGAAATACACGGAAGGCAATTGTTAGCTTATCAGTTAATCAATTAAAATTCTCCGATTTGTGGTTTCGTCTGTTCGAAAGTCCTCTGATTAAGGCTCTACTCCTCGTCACTGTACGATTCAACGTCAGTGCGGCATACTGGACAGTAAAGTACATCATTGTTGCTAATGTAATTCAAATGCAGAGAGATGCATTCTTTGCAGAAAGTGTGACCACATTTTGTGGCCACTGCGTCCGTCTTTGGGTGGATGCAAATTGTGCAATCTTCATCTGGGTCATAGCGTTTCTTTCGGCGCTTCTTTGTCTCGGATTTTTTGTTCTTACGATCGTCCATAGAATATTGCTCAAGCCCTGTTTATATTACTGCGGGAATGACAAAATGTTGGGTTCTTTCGTATTTTGTGCACAAATATTCTTACCTTTCCGAATTCTAGAGAGAAACTGACTTAATTTTTGTCATCTATGGGTATACATTTTCTTAAATTTGAATGAAAATGTTAAGCCTACTAAATATAATAATAATAATGCAATAATATCTATGTTTTAGCCTGAAAATTCAGCTAAAAATGAGACTCATAAATTTTCCACTGAAACAGCCGCAATCCAAATAAAATAAACCAAAACATAGAAGTCTCCATCACCTCCCATTGATCCTTTCAATTATTAGCCAATGTTTTGCAAAGAAAACTTTAAATGGTTCTTATAATAAATGAAAAGTCTAAGTCTGCCATCAGCTGCTACAGAAATAATCGCACTAAAATGCATTTATGCCTTTTGTCGCCCTTGGGCAAATTTTTTGGCCTTTTATTTAAGTTTTTCGTCCACAATTACAATGCAATTTCATATTTTCTCTTTCACTCTGTGTGTGTGGGTTTTGGCCATTTTGCTTCTTGTTTATTATATGTATATGTACCATACAGGATGTCAACAGCATGCCCGGGCTTTGGTTCAGCACTTGATGCAGTTGTTGTTCTCTTTGAATTGCAACAATTCACAATTGCTGCAGGTCAATGAGAAGGCCACTTAACGAGTAGAGAAATGCAAAATATATCGGGTTGCAAAATCTGTAAAATCAAAACAAAGGAAGTTTTTTGTTGAGCGAGACAATGAAGATAATTTATAAAGTTTATGTGGGGAGAGAATCAATTTAATAAATTTAAATACCTTCCTAAGTTTGCAATTTTGTATACTAAAGGGTTTACTATATTTGATATATTTTTGTGAATTGTCAATACACCAATATTCAAAATATATCAATTACAAATTCCCATCTTCATTACACTCTTACTTTATTGAATTTACTTTGTATCTTCCATTCTCATTTACAAGTGTGATAACTAAGTATTATTTTGGCCATGAAACTAACCCAAAGAATATTTAACATAAAGAACATTGTGACATTTTCTGTTTTAAAATTCGAAAACCAATTACCTATGTCGGACTTCATCCCATTGTTTGGCACCACACAAAAAAAATGCTGTAATAATCATAAAATTTCTAAAGCTAAGAAGAAGAAATTGCCGCCGAAAAAATACGTTTAGTACTTGTCATTTGTTCCAATACACTTTGCCATATTGAATTTGTGATTAGGCAAATAAACTCGATAGAATTACACGTGTTATACAAGTTGGAAGTTTATTGAGAGGGCGGTGCCCTACCGCACCAATGGGTGGAGAGGAAAATAAACACAAATCTGCATATAAAAAGGATCCTATATGATGCTTAAAGTAAATATTCATTGGCCTTACGAGTGCTTTAGCTTGAATAGCAAAGAGCGAGGCAACACAATGGAGAAATCATCAAATTTCAAGTTTGCTCTTTGGGAAAGTGTCAAAATGGGGATGGGAAAATAATATGTACATATTCACTGCAGAAAATTTGAGCATTTTGGGGGTAGACGTGGGAGTTGGGTGGCGCTGCCAGTGCCATTGTGTCGCCCCGTTTATGTTTTCATAATAAATTCATCAATTCAATTTATTTTTCAATCAAAATAAATATTTTCCCCGTCTTTTGTTCACCGTCTTTTTTCGCCCATTTCAGCCAAATAGGAAAACTTGACTGAAAACTTGACAAAAGCAGGAAAAGAAATCGAAAATACCATGAAATAGGAAAGGCAAAATCAAGATAAGCTTCAAGGAAAAATAAGGCAATTGAAAAGCTAAGATTTTGCTAATAAAAACTAATAAAAACAAAGTTAAATGCATACTCAAACCGAATAGATTTCAAATTAAATATAATTGAATAGAAAGGGGAATTGATTAGTTGGAAATATTACGCTTGTGGAATTTTAATATTTGATTTGGTTTGGTAATTTCACTTCCAAATGTATTCATCCTTACCAAAGTATTACGCATTAACCCGCAGCATAAATTCATACCTCTTTATAATTCAGAGGAATTCTCGCATCATATGCCCTGAATGTTAATTATCTTGTTACTACTTTCATTAAAGTACTAAAAAATTTCGATTAAGTAAAAATGTTCTTAGTGTAAGCTGGTAAAATCTCACCGTGAAAAATGTGGGACTAATTAGAATAATTGAAATCATTTAAAAGGTACCAGCCCAGAGATACTATCGCTTGAAAAATAAAGCACAGACAGGAAAAATAGCCCCATAGAGCACGTGAAAATATGCGCAACATGAATGCCTCTTCCTCTGCCTTAGCTCTTCGCAGTGGTTCTGGTTATGGTTCCGGTTCCCTCCGTGTTCTACCTAGAGGGGGTTCCCAAACATAAATTATGCGCAAAAATACCGAGCACGGTGTTTTATCTTGTCTATCAAGAGTGTTTAGCAAGTTTTTGAAACAGTGGAGCCATTATGCAAATATGCATACGGCAGCGGGTGGTCTACCTCCTGCCTCGTACTCGTTCCTATTACTCGCATTCCCAAACCCATTCCGAGCAGTGTGGGAGGGCCGTTTGGCATGACTACACATACTTTCATTTGTTGCCGACTTTTCGCATAATTTTTAAATGCATTTCCGCGAGCGTCAAGAGTCGTCGGCCACAGCTAAAATTGGCTTATAAACTTATATCAGTGTTGCTTCTGTATGCGGGTGGCTCTGAGTGTGTCTGTATAGAGTTGAGTTCTAGCTTAAAAAAATAGATAAGCGGAGAAGAAGGCTTAGCAGTGGAAAAGAAAAGTACAGCTAACATGTTTGATCATGCAACAGGACTTGGATAAAAACAGGAGTCAAACGACTGGAAAGGGGTAGTAGGAATAGCAACAGGATGAGGATATGCAGTGCCAACTTACAATAACATCAGACGGCTGACCACACGGCTCTCACGAATCAAGGGGAAAGCATAATTTTATCGGAGTTCTTTGCTCTGAAAGATTGAAGAAGAACCTGTTTGAAGTTCAAATTATCTACCGACAAACCAGAGTAAAGAAAGTCCTCTGTCTACTATGATAATCAAGAGCAAACGCCACATGTTCAAATTTAACGAACATATTCAAAAGGTCCAACAGAAGCCTGAGTAAGGTGCAGTAACGCTTTACAGAGGCAGCAGCATTTGACTTTTAGCAGGCAGCGTTAACAGTGGGTGTTAACTGTCAAGGACAGAACTCCAACGTCAAATCTGGCTGCTGAGACTACATCTCGAACCACACAACAGGCAGTTACAGCCTAAAGTTAACATCCCCTGTTGTTGGGAATGAACAGAATGAACGCTTTTCAGGGGCAGGCTTCCAGTCTCTGTTACCCCGACAAAGTACGATTACTGGAACTGTTAAAGCGTACCACTGCTGTGCACTGCAGTGCACCGAAAAGAGAATAAATGAAACGTTAACAGCTTTTGCTATCAAAGAAGTGCAGTAAGCCAGCGATTTTTTTTCCCTTTTCCATCTACTTTTTCTGCTCGTTTCTCATAATTTAAAAGGGAGAAAGGAGAGTGGAAATAAGTCTCGCATAATGCAAAATAAAATCAACAATTTTGCTTCACTTTGGGCACGAGGTAATTATGGAGAAATTGTCAACAGGACTTTGCTTGTTATTGTAGGTTAAGCAGGCACTGAGACTACTGGGCCTTGGCCACTGTTGGTTTTTAATTTCAACTTAAAGTGGTTCCGTGGCGGCCATGGGGTGGGCAGGGGTTCAGTCTTAGAGGCTGGACCCGGTGGTGGCAGAGAAGCCGCTCAAAGGATATACGAGTGCGCACTCAAAGTTGTTACATTTTTTACCACTGCCCGCTGTTGCTGTGACACCAGTAATTAACATAACACAAAAGGCAGAAGTCAGCAGCGTTCCGCTCTTTGAAGTGTCTTGCTCGCTTTGCCGGCGACCGTCGCTCTCCTTCTCTCTCTGTCTCTCTCGCCTCTGCACTTAACAGTGATTAAAGTAAATTTACCTGAAACTCTTGATGCAGCGAGGTGAGAGTCTGGGGGTCAGCTTTCGCTTTGAGTCAAACTAACCAGCGTTTAAGGTAGCATTCCTGAAAGTGTTTGCTATAAGCCTTCGTGGATCAGCTGTTACATAGCAAGACGGAGTGAGAGCGAATAGCCGAATAGCTGTACGATCAAATATTCAATTCAGATATTTCCTTCAAATTCGCAAGTGTTTCACTGCAGTACCTGTAGAAAGAGCAAATCACATTCAGGAACGCCCATATTTCGCGGCATGAGCTATCCTTTGATGTGTACATCAGAGTGTACACGTATGTGCATATGTGTGACGTGTGTGTACTTTGATGGGAATGGTACAGTTGTGGTGCTCCTGTCGCCTGCACTGTTTGTCATTTCCGCTTGTCTCGCATGCTCAGCGTACCATACAGTGAGTCCCCTCATCCCTTCCGATAGAGCGCCAGTTTAGTGGCATCTTCGGAGGAATTTGGCAATGCATCAGCATCAATATTGACAAAGGGAGGGCAGAGTTGCAGCCCAGAAATGGTATTCGCGGAATACAGTGGGCACTCAGGCAAATTGTTGTTGATACTCAAAATCTATAGAAGAACATACGCCAAAGGTTTTGTTTTATGTTGCTATAACAGTTTTCAGTTAGCTAATTAATGTCACACATCCTTATGAGTGTCTCATGTGTGGCCGACTATAAAGGACGAGCATCGCCAGCGATAAGGTTTCGTTCGCCCCATAATCATCTTATGTTGCCTCAGGCTTCAATGTCTTCGAAGCACATTGGACACCAAAGCATAGAGTCTGAAGGAATAGAGAGCACGTGGTCGTTGATGCACTCCCAGCAGAATGCGTGGCCGCAGGTGGTGGTCACCGGATCCGACTTGGGATGCATGCAAATCCCACAGTCGCGATCGACGTCAAAAGAGGGGTCCTCCTCGGTCTCATCGTAGATATTCTTTTGCTCGTTCATAGCGTCAGCGTTGTCTATACCACGGCAAACAAAAAAAAAACACAATATCAGATTAGTATTTTTTTTTTTGGGAAAAAATATTCTTACCCTTTCAAATGACAGACTTTGATTAATGCACTCAGTTGAAATTACTGGTAAATTGAAATCAAGTGTTGATATGTTTTTACTGACAGTATTCGCTTCGGGCGACCAAAAACAGACTGACAAATTTTTCCACTCCACTCCACTCAAGTTCTTGTTCAGTTTGTAGAGCACTCAAAGAACTTTAGCGAAAATGTAGAAAAATATATTTGGTATCCACGCTGGCGGGGGTAGGGATCTCAGGGTCAATATTAACCTTACAAATATTTCATATTTATTTGGAGTATCTCCGAAAGTTCAAAATGAGTCCTTGACCAATATCAATGGGAGATGGAAAACTTTATTCCTGTCCCTTTTTTTTCGATAAATTCAGTTTACGATTTCCTTGTTTTTTGACCATTTTGCTGCTTTTTGTTGTTGTTGTTCCGTTCAAGTTCCAGTGAAAACAATTTCATATTTCAAAAGTGGAAAACCAAATGCATTTGACGTTTTTGGGTCTTTAAAGTTTTTTTTTTATTGGTTTTATGTGTGTCGTATTGATTTGTTTGCTTCGCACATGCTTTTGAGCCCCTGCTCCAACCGACACATTTCCCCTAAAATGGCCAACGAAAAGGACACTTCTGGCTCCTTCAGCAGCTTCAAACGGAATTTTTTGCCTTTTGTTTTTGATCCTTGAACCTGTGCCCTGCCCAAGGTGTATGCAAAATATTCTCCACTGGGGTGCTAGAGCCCAGGAGGGCTCCATTTCTGGTTGTGTAACCCAATGCCCCTTCAAGCTGAGTCTACGAGCATAATAGTATACGTATAGAAATGGTGTTGTACATATCGCACTTGGACATAAATTCCCTTGCCTTTTGTTTGAGTTTCCTGTTTGCCTACAATTTTGTAGGCAGCATTATATGTATAAAAAGGGAATGGAATTGAATGGTAGATGTTGAAAATTCAGTGGATCCATGTATTAAAGGGAATTTATATTCACCTAAGGAATAGGCTTGAATTTGTTTATTTTACATTATTATTTCATCAATATTCTTAAGCTGTTTGTGCACTTTATATCGTAAATGTTCAATTAATATTCAACGACTTTCCCCACCACCATTCAATTATATTTTATAAGTAAACTTAAAATACATGACATATTCCTGTATTATTTGACCTAAAAACTCTATTATTCGCAGCGTCAAGGCCCATGCTGAAGGATTTCCTTGCGGTCTTTCAGGCACTGACATTAGTTTGAGTCACCTTGATTCTTGCATTCGTGTTCCTTCTTCATCACTCCTTTGTACTTTGCTCTCCCTTGATCTAAAGTAATGCCTAAATGAGACAATCGATTTTTTTGTGCCCATTCTATCTACATACATATGTACATGCTAACACTCCATTTCAGTACTTCTTCCCATGGCTTCCTTCACGGCTTACGTATGAATTGTTACTTTCATTCATTCGGATCTCGTGATCTTGACTTCGTTCTCTGAGCTGATTATGAGCTTTTCAGGCCCTGTTATTGCTCCCACACATACTGTTGTATGATTTAGTGTGACCTTCGAATTTCTTTTTTGCTTTTGTTTTGCGCTTCCTACACTCGCTCCGGCATTTATTACCATTGAATTGGCTTCCTTGATCTTTTCATGTTTCATCATCCCACGTGTAATTTGTAAATTTCACTCGTTTTTCCCTTGAACCTGTTCAACCATTTGGCCATATTTGGCTGGGTATTTTTCGGTTGATGTCTGGCAAATTGCCCGCTCCAAGGCAGCTTAATTCAGGCAGAAGCACATTACGCATACATCACGTTGAACACGTGCGCGACAAGCCAAGAGAGCAGAAGATAGACAGGAGGTGTATAAAGAGACACAAAGGGAGACGGAGGCAGAGAGAGAGAGAGAGAGAGAGAGAGAGTGAAGTGAAGTCACGAAAGTGTGATAATTCCGGGCTGTATACCACAACAATGTTGGACTTTTTAATGGATTTTCATTAAGTTTAAAGCAAGATAGTGTGGAGAGGGCGAGATAGAGCAAGAGAATGGAAAAGCTCTTAAGAAGTTCATTACGGCGATAGCAGTGCCAAAAAGTTTATTTGACCATTTAGTGGCAAATGCCCAAAGTCGACTCGAGTCCGTTCGAGTCAAGCCGAAAGATGTTTTACTCAAGAAAAGGAATGGTGCAGGAAAGTGCAGGGGAGTGGGTTTGGCTGTGGGTGTGGGATGTACTGCAGTGTGTCTGTGTGTGGCCAGCCAGTCAGCATTTATCTATCATGTTTGTAATCACTTTTCATTAGGTTTCTGTGGCTGACTGTACCACTCGTGCCTCTTGCTCTCTGCTCCTCTCCTCTCCTTCTTTCTTTGGGTCTGCCTTGTCGATGCCTTTTGTGACTGTTGCCTTTTGCTGAATGCAATTCGCATAAAAGATTTTCGCACATGCTCGAAAATTTTCAAGTGTAGGAAAAAGTTTTTTAATTGGAAAAACACATTTAAGTGGATTTCACTGTGAAAGAGAAAGGAAACTTTTTAATACTGTTTATTTAGTCGCCACCCCTGCCCACGCCATGCCCATTGAAAGTATCGCAATATCATGAGAGAAAACTGAGAGAGAGAGAGAGCGAGAGAGAGAGAGCGAGTGAGGATTTTAGATGGGGTTAACGGTAAACTTTCCAGTGTTGTTTCTCGGCAATTATGAAAAATGCTAGAAAAAGCATTCTCCCCGAACATTACTAACTCATTTCATTAGTTTCGCTTTTCGCCCTTCCAGCAGCCATCCCAAAGGTAGTAAAAACATTTTAATGTTGTTAGATATTGTGTGTGTGTGTGTGTGTGTTGCATTGTTGTGTAGTACTTTCTGCTCGGGTGCAGCGTATTAGGCGGACTTAAAGTTGGTCAGGTCAGAGTTCAGTTCAGCTCTTGCCTCATTAAAACTTCCCTGCCAGACCTCAAAAAAGACTTTCACTTGTACCCAGATGAGCGATATATAAACCAAAGCATGCATGCAGGTCGAGACCGTATTTATGGACACAACTTCTGTCTTCCCCCTTCCCGCCCAGTGTCCACCAGTGCAGTTCCTGCAAAGTGAACAATTTTTTGACACATTAGAGCTCTGGGATTTTGAAGTCTGGAAAATTACAAATATTTGTAGTAAGCATATTTTATTTATATCGAAAAAAGTATTTATTCGTACACCAAACAATACACATATATGCTCTGTCCACAGCCACATTAATGATAGGGCGGCTGCCATAGTCGACTTCGTTTTTGATGAAGACAAGAAGATAAATCCTGACGTCTACTTACAGCGAGCTCTGGTGCTGCTTGCTGCTCGTTCTCATGCAGTTCCAGAAGGAGGTTTTACACCAGAAGGTGTATTATGCAGAGTACCATGCGATGGGTCATTGGATCAGAGTATAATTTTCATGGAAAATATCTAAAAGTATAAAATTTTGTTTGTGATTTGTTTGATGAAGGGAAAATGTATCTTACCTCACAAACTGAGAACAAAGGAAATACAGAAGCAATAAAGAAGTACTGAGAATAATCGTATGCTAGAGTGACATATGGGACTGTTTTTCCTCCACTTTAAACAGTTTAGTAGACCAAGTAACCCTACTCTCCCATATCATTCTTTTGCTTAAACACACATCATGCACAAGGTTGCAGGGTGATACGTATTTCCACTTACACACACACACACACACCCCCAGAGACACATACAATTATTGTAAGCTGCTGCAAGCATCCATACATAGATGCGACTATATAGCTGTGTATCTGTGTGCGAGTGTATGCTGTACGTGTACGTGTCTGTATCTGTGTTTGTTTGAAGGATGCATGAGAGGCTTTAACTACATGTTCAACCTGTTTTCAGCTGCCCGGCAAATGTCCAAAGCTGATGTGTAAAATATTTTTCAAACTTTATTCACATTCGTGGCATGTGCAGCAGAGCCGAGCAGAGTTTACGGATGATGCATGGAATGTGGTGGCGGGCTGTTGGTTGTAGTTTGGGGCAAGGTTGAGTTCATTCTTGCCACAATTCCTGGCAACGATCATACGTCACGTTGTCTGGTAAAGTCCGTACGAACTGGCGACCACGCATCGATGAGTGCATGAAGGGTAAACTTTGCCAGTTAGTCGGTAAATATTATCAGGGGGGAATACATATATGTATATATATGTATAGTATATTAAATTAAGACACAAACAGATATGAAGTTGAAGGAAGCAACAAATGGGCATAAAAAATGTTGGCACAGCGTGACATGAAGTGCAGACAACAAAAGAAGGGCACAAAACATTCGCAGACAAAGGCAGAGGGGGGATGAATCGCTTCGAAAGACAGCATCATCCTGGGACAGCCCCATTACATGCCCCACTTGGGGTCCGCACCGGCGCTTCAAGTCAAGTCATTTGTCTGCGAAGGCGCTCTGGCAAAGGGATAAGGATAAAGGATAAGACATATAGTTATTTATCAAGCTATAAGTTATGATGTCAGCATGCTGGCATTATGTGACTGATAAACCCCCAGCCCAAGCCCACACGCAAACGCAAACACATACCACGGACCCACACACACACACACACACACACACACACATGTGTCTGCCTCTAAATGAGATGAAAAATCGAGGTGAGAAGATTTTGATATTCCCGTCATTTGTTGTGGCGCTCACTTAGGCGCCATTTCTCTATACCCTTTTCAAGGGGTTGACTGAACTTTTGAACAAGAATTTGCCAATCGAATTATGTATAATAATATAATAATAATAATAATTTTTATTAATTTGGTAAAAGTATAAATTAAAAGCCTAAGAAACGAGAGAGACTCGAGAGCTTTTCCTTAATTTACATCCCAAAATTGGCACGTTGGCGAAGGGTTACCTTTGGGGGTTACGAGACCAAATTTGATAACTACTTTTAACATTTTAATAATTGAAATGAGTATTTCAAGCTTCGACCGTGAAAAACAAGGCCTTTTTCCTTTTTTCTTTCGCGGCTTTTCTTTAAAATAATAATGATATGAAGAAAAAAGGCAACCGGGAACCTGTTTTTGTCTTGCTTGCACTCACATTTGCATAATAAATTAAATCAAGAAAAACAGCGAGCGAGAGAGAAAGAAAGACAGATGAA